ATATTTTTCCTTAAATACTAAAATTTTTTTCCGGAAAAACAAATATATGATATTTTTATCGGAAACTAAAACATTTTTCGGGAAAAAACCTACATTACAGTTTTCAAAAGTTTCGTTTGGACAAAAACTGCGAATTTTATGAAAATTTTTCAGGCACAAAAAGGGCACTTTGCTCCTGTAAAAAGGGCACTTGCCAAAACTTGGGGGGGGGCATGGCCCCCCCGGTTCCTACGCCCCTGGTGGCACTGGTTTCGATATGAATATCAAGGCAGAGGTAGTATCCATTGTCATGGTACTGCTAAACTAAATAATGACCCAGGTTTGTGTCATCTTACTCAGACTGCTTTGAAAGGTTTCTTAGCTAAAACATTTAAAGATGAAAATGATTGTTCTGACACAACTGAACTAGACCAGGATATTGAAGCTGGTCAGAAAGCAGCTGACACAGTATGTCAATATGTTGATTGGTTATTATCAACCGTCAATCCTAATCCACCAGATGAGGACATGTGGATAAGACCTGAGTTTCATCCGTGTCAAAGAAGCCATCATGACATTCCTGAACATGAAAAACAATCAGATTATGTAGATCTATTAAACATGGTTCAACGACACACTCGTTGTAGTACAAGTTATTGTCTTAGAAAGAAGTCAAATGAAACAGACTTGAAATGTAGATTTCATTTTCCTTTTGATATTTGTCCTCAGACAAAATTAGAATTTGAAAAAATTCATACCTCAGGTGATAATGAGCATTATCGAGCTAAGATTGTGACTAAACGAAATGACTCTAGGTTAAATAACCATCAACAACTTCAACTCCAAGGATGGAGAGCTAACTGTGATATTCAAGTTGTTATTGATCACTATGCTTGTGTTGAATATCTCACAAAATATGCAGCTAAAAGTGAGCCAAGGTCACCTGTATTGAAACAGGCATTCAATTCTATTGTGCAAAATGTTGACAGTAATACTGAGCCTCGTAGAGTTATTAAGAAGGTAGTTATGAAATCTCTTGGTGAAAGAGATTATGCAGCTCAAGAGACAATGCATCATTTGTTGTCTTTGAAACTTCACAGCTCATCCTTTAAAGTGATGCCAGTTAGTCTAAATGGTTCACGTAGAGTGCGTGATACTGCAAGTATTGACGAGGGTGAATCGTGCACCGATTATTCACTTCTTGATGTGTATGCTAATCGTGAACAATATGACAGTTCACAAAATATAATAAATATGAACTTTGTTCAATTTGCTACAACATACAAAGTTGTTAACAATGAACTGACAAAATTGCCAGAGAATATTATACCACGAATATTTCCAACATATTCTCCTAATCCCAAAGGTCCAAATTTTGGCCTATATTGTAAATATCAACTTTTGAGGTATAAACCCTGGAAAACAACCCAAAATAATGCATGGGGTGACCAAGGACCGACTGACGAGGTTCTGACCAATTGTTGGCATGAATTTTTACAAACAGCTTATGGGCAGTCTAATGTCCCAGACTGGTTTGATAAATTACAAGCTGTCATTCAAAGTCAAGAATCAGAAGATGAACCTTCTGAAGAACAGGAGACAACTCGAGAAGAGTGGATGATATTATCAGACCTCAACACTCCTTTTGGCAACTCTGAACAAACATCAGAGTCCACATATGACTGGCATCTTGACAGAGCCAATTATTCAGAACAGCAAATCCAAGAAATGCCAACATGGATAAAAACAAACAAAGAGGAATACGCTATTGATGAGCAATATGATGTTGTTGACATTAACAGTTTTAGTGAAACGCAAAAACTTGCTTATGACATTGTTAAGTCTCATTTTGATGATGTATCATCCGAGAAAGAGCCATTATGTCTCATTATAAATGGTGTTGCAGGAACTGGTAAAAGTTACCTTATTAATGCTATTAGAAATCTTTTGCAAAGTAAATGTGCTGTTACTGTTACCACAGGTAAAGCAGCTTATAACATTAGAGGTGTAACTGTGCATTCTCTATTAAAGTTACTTATAGGATCAAGAGGTAATAAAGACCTAACAGGACAAAGCTTGTGTAGGTTACAAGAGAGTGTTAATAACATTGGATACATCATTATTGATGAATACTCCATGCTTGGCCAAGTTACTTTTGGTTGGATAGACAAGCGTTGCAAACAAGCAACTGGTTATAATGACCAAGTATTTGGAGGAAAATCCTTGATTTTAACCGGTGATCCAGGTCAATTGCCACCAGTAGCAGATAAACCTCTTTACCATGCTAGACCATCAAACGCTGTTGGTGAACAAGGTTATCAAGCATATCATATGTTTGACAAAGTTGTTAAACTCACTGTAAATCAACGTGTGCAAGGTATGACATCTGAGCAAGTACAGTTCGGAGATTTGTTATTGCGACTTCGCAAAGGGGACTCAACAGTTGATGACTGGAAGTTACTTCTGACACGTCAACCATCAAATGTCACTAATTTATGTGACTTTGAAGATTCTACTAGACTCCTTTATAGTAATGAACAAGTTGGTAATTACAACCATGAGCAGCTAACAAAACTTGAGCATCCAATTGCTCGTATTAATGCTCGCCATTCATCAGCATTGGCCAAAAAGATATCCTCAGATGATATGTCTGGGTTAGAACCTGTTGTGTTTCTAGCAAAAGGTGCTAGGGTCATGTTAACCATGAATTTGTGGTCAAGTGTTGGCCTCTGCAATGGGGCCACTGGAACAGTTGTTGATATTATCTATCAGAACAACCATCAACCACCTGACTTACCTATTGCGGTAATAGTAGAATTTGAAAACTATAGAGGACCTGTTTTTAATGAAAACCAACCATTGTGTATCCCAATATATCCAATCACTGTCACATCACAGACAGAAATAGGTTTCCATGAGAGGCAACAGTTACCTCTTAGGCTTGCTTGGGCTCTAACAATACACAAGAGCCAAGGACTTACACTTCCAAAAGCATGGATAGATATTGGCAAATCTGAAAGAACTGCTGGAGTTTCTTATGTTGCTATTAGCAGAGTAAAATCACTTCCATCTTGTGTCATTGAACCAATTTACGTATGAACGATTAACAAGCTTGAAATCATCAGCTAACTTACAATATAGGCTTGAAGAAGAAAACAGGCTAGATCAGTTAGCACAGGCCACTAGCATTTAGAACAACAAACTATTGAGTTTGAATAAGAGAGGGGTTTCATATATGGATCCCAGTTATAGTTTGGTATGTACTTTGACTATATACCCTTTTAAATAATTTAATTTATTATATAATAACTAATTTACTCCTTGTTATCACTGTATGTATGAAAATATTATGATTTGCAAGACAGAAGAAGGGTAAGTTTTTTTGTTTGTTTAACCCTTCCCCCTGCCTACTTTTATTTTCACTCAGTAATGTGCCACTATGTTTCCACATAAATATCTCATCCTACCAATTATTTTTTTCTATAGTTTTGCAATTCTGACAGATGTGAATGGTGCCATGTTAACTGCTGGATGAAACCGACCAAATGGTTGTTATAGTCAAAATGTAATATGGATATATATTACTGTTCATCTCATGAAAATGGATAGGAGCTTCTGGATTAACAGAAATGTATTTCTATTAAAACAAGAATGCTGATTTACAAGATTGGATATATTACAATACATCTAATGCAATGGGATATGGAATCTGCCATGTATTATTATTAAATTACTGTACTTGTTTCCAATCTACCATATGGATGTCAGGAACATTGTATGTCTACTATGTCGAGATATTACATACCTTTATATGTACAGTAACCTAACAAGTTATTGGACAATATGATGGCCAACAATGGACACCACCTGTACATGCTAAATAAATACGAAACATCTGCATATTGGACAAAAAACAATTAATGATACTGTCTTGTTTACCAATTGGAAAATACAGTAGACTATTATTGCTTGGAAAGAATATGAAAACTTGCAACAAACTAATCATATCACGTTAAAAGACACTATGTTTGTTCTTCCTAATTGTGTTCTTCTAGACGTTTTGACAAGTGAAGACGGTTTAAAACATTGGTACCAACAATCACATGTGTAAATGTGGAAATCCGAAGTACAGTCTACAATATATAATAATTATTGCATTATTAAACAAAATTACTGACAAAATAAATTCATACATACAGTGTATTTACAGTAATAAGGCCATTTAAATAAATGAAGTTTTTTGGTATAATCAATCTCCAAGACTTTGGGTTGTAAGGCAGCACTTCCCTTGCGATAGTAACTTCTAGTATAAATGATTTATGATATTGAAATGTAATCCTTTGATATTGAAATGTAATCCCGTCATGCATATCGTTTCTGCGTAGGCCAAAATTAGCATATAAACCTTTCTTGTATAAGCAGTAATAATTTATTAGCGTGAATATAAATCAATTCTTCATACAATTATAAAAATAAATACTGGAAGTTACGTTCGCAAGGGAAGTTCAAGTGCTGCCTTGACTCGACCTACAGCTGTACAGTGCCACAGTGAGAGTGCACCCTTGCCATGTTCACAAATGTTGTTAATAGTATTAGCCATAATATCAACGGTATATACAAGCCATTTATGACTTTTATGGCCCATAAAAACCATAAATTATGGGCACTTGCTGTCGTACGTGCATGCGACGGTTTGGAGGTGTCGCGTGTTAGTATTGTATAAAACAATGCCCCCAACTTCCAAGACAGATTTACACGCTGATTTAAAACATATGCTATTGATAAATTTCCAGTGTCTTATTAACAAATAACAAATCGGCAGAAACAGATCAGATCGCTGCAGAAATAATCATGATAGAATCGAGACAACTGCATGTTGCCGGCATGTACTGATGTACAGTTATGGTTATTGGTTTATAAATTGTTTTAGAGAAATAAAAAATGAAACGAAAGTATACATCAGGATCTGCAAAAAGGGCGGAAAAGAGAAGAAGTATTCAAATAGCTACCCAAAATACAGCTCCTATAGCCTCATTCTTTGAAAAAGCTGAAAATGTTGAAAGTGATGCTGAAGATACTCCATCAACATCTTCCTTGGCTGATGAAGGCTCAATTAAGTACATCAAATGAAGGTGTAGACAGTGGGAGCATGAAGAAAAATGCTGAAACTTCTCATGATCAATTAGGACTTTTCAATCTGGCCAATGAATACCCTACTGACAGAGGGCACTTTCCATCCTCAATTGAAGAAGGGGATTTAAAGAGACTTATTCTTAGTCATGGCCCATGTAAACCTGATGGACCATTTACAGTGGAAGACGAACAAGGTAACATAACAACAAACTTCAGCACATCATATTATCAACTCCACAGCAATAACAAAATGTGCCCGAGATCATGGCTTTGTTATTCACCAATATTAGCAAAACCATACTGTGAAAATTGCTGGCTTTTTTCTGATCGAAATCATCCACGTTTGGGTTGCAAAGTGCATGGGTAGATGGAGTTCAGAGCTCAAAAAAGCGATTGCTAGCTAAGATAAAGAAACATGAAAACTCATTGCTCCATATTGAAGCATCTGCTGTATATCTTAGATGGAAAGAAGGGAAGACAATAAGTGACGAATCCCAAAAGCAGAACCAACGTGAAACTAATTTATGGGTGAACGTTTTGAGAAAGGTTTTGGGTGTAATTCTTTGTCCGGCCTCGTTAAGTCTTACTTTGCGAGGACATGATGAAAAAGTAGGTGAATGGTTTGCACAAGGAGGAAATTTCCTGGGTGTGGTGACACTGTAAGCGAATTTGACACTATTACTAATGATGCCATCTCCTTACCTAAGTATGCAACTCAATACATAAGTCCCAAAATCCAGAATGAACTGATTCTAACAACATCTCAGCTGCTGCGAAAGTCTTTGGTCACTGAGATAAATGAATGTCCATTTTCGTCAATTGTACTGGATACCACAAGTGACATAAACAGAGTAGATCAGCTCAGTGTCACTGCTCGGTGGGTTAAAGTACAAAACGAGAATGTTACCATTAAGGAAACTTTCCTTGGTTTTATATCTGTAACTGACGGAACAGCGGCCGGCCTCGTAGAAACAACATGCAAATATGTCGAAGATATTGGACTTGACATGGAAAAGCTCCGTGGTCAAGCTTACGACGGGGCGAGTGTCATGAGTGGTGTTCACAATGGCGTACAAAAGCTGATAAAATATCGTTCATCAAAGCCTGTGCCATTCATTCATTGTGCAGCACACAATCTAAACCTTGTTATAAATGATGCCGTAAATTCCGTTGTTGATAACGATAACTTTTTCGGAGTTATTCAATCCATTTACGTATTTTTCTCATCGTCCATAAATCGGTCAAGAGATTTACAGTTGCTCGCTGTTGATTCGTCCTTGTCTTTAAAAAAGCTCTGCGTTACCAGGTGGTCGTCTAGGGTAGATTCGGTCCGTGGAGTGCGGGACAGATTTGTTGACATTTTGAAGCGACTGACAGTCATTTCGTTGACCAGCAAGGATAAAAAAGAACGTGATGAAGCAGTTGGCATCAAGAAGAACACTGCAAAAATTAATTTTATCATAAATATAGTTTATCATAAATCAAAAATTGACTTTATCATAAACCAACTCCACATCAAAGGAACTGCAATCAAAAAGTGTCGACCTCAGTGCCGCTTCCAGATTTTATCCATTAGTTTGTCAGAACTAAGGTATTTGCGAAATTCATGGGAGTCCGTTCGAATGACCGCAAATGCCCTTGCTGCATCATGGGGCATTCCCATTGAGTTTGAGAAACGACGTGAGCGTGGGGTAAAACAGTTCTTCGGCGAATTGGCTTCCGATTCTAGGATCGAGGATTCAGAAAGAGCTTTTAAAATAAACATCTTTTATAGAACCATTGATGTTGCTGTAACACAGATAGAAGTGCGTTTTAAAGGAACGCAAATGGTCGCAGAGAAATTTGATTTTCTGTTCCCAAGAAACTTCGTCAAACTGGAGGTCGCCGAAATTAAACTAGCCACCTCGAACTTACTACGTGTATATGGCGAAGACTTTGATGGTGATGACCTGGAAAGAGAGGTTCGTTCGTTTCAAGTTGAATTTCTTGACGAATTAAAAGCGGAAGACGTTACCTCAGTATCAAACATTCTTGAAATCATTTACAAAGCCAGAATTGCTTCCTCCTTTCCACAGTTATGCAAATTGCTATTGTTATTCCTAACCATTCCTGTGACAGTAGCATCTGCAGAAAGGTCCTTTTCAAAGCTGAAGATCATTAAATCTTATCTGAGGAGTTCTATGGCTCAAGAGCGCCTTGATGGGTTAACTTTGATTTCAATAGAGAACAAAGAAATAACTCAAACATTAAAAGATAAAGTCATTAATCATTTCGCTTTTGTTAATGCTAGAAGGAAGGACAGATTTTCTCGATAAACTTCGTAACTTTGTATAGGGTTTTTAGCATATAATCAATTTTCCATTTAATTGTTGTGTTTACGCGTATATATAGGACGCGCGAGTCCGAACTTTTTTTGTGTAGGCTGGGCTTTCCAGTCCGAACTTCGTACTGATAGGGATTTTGATATATTGTCAATAAAATACAAATATTATTTGTGTTGAGGATTCTTTGGAGGCATAATCTCAACAATGTAATGGATTGTAGTCCATTCTGTAACCAAATATTATGTAAGTGAGCAGCGGCGGCGGAACAGATTTCGTTCTGGGGGGGCTAAATTTTTTCGGCGACCTGCCACACCCCCCCGCCCCCCCCCCGTCGCCAAAAAAAATTCGGTCAGTGTACCACTTTAGGGGACAATATATAAAAAAAAGGACGAAAAAAATTTTTTCGGATTTATATCAAAAATTTTTTTCGGAAATACACTTTTTTTAAACAAAATATTGCAAATTTGTCCCCTTATACCTAAATTTTCAAAAAATAACCTAAATTTTTCCCTAATTATCAAAATTTTTTCAAAAAATTCAAATTTTCTGGGGGGGCTAAGCCCCCCCCACTTTTACTTCTGGGGGGGCTTTAGCCCCCCTAGCCCCCCCTGTTCCGCCGCCCCTGTAAGTGAGGATTGCTGTTGTGTAGACATAAGTCGTAAATTCAGCCTATTTTTAGTGGAGCAAGGGGGGGGGGGCAAAAGTGGCCGATTGACGGAGGGCCCCAGCGGTTGCGTTATGCCACTGGAAATTACCACATCTGGTCACACTGGCGACCAGCCTCCCTTTTAGTCAACATAACATTTATAACAAAAAGTCTTGTCTAATGCTTGTGCTTTTATGATTAACTCTATCGATAAATTCAAAATGTGCCGCGAATTTATCATAATGATAAACTCGGACGTGTTTAAGAATTTACTGATATAGTAAATTCAAAGGTGGAGCTCATGTTGATGATGTGATAGGTCAGATTTGGCTTCAAGAAAAAGATAGGCAGTTCATGATCCGAAGGCAGCGTTCCAATTATATTCATTCAAATGGGCAGGACTGAACTACTGCGGTCCTGCGATTGCTTGCTACATTTTGCTTGCCTCGAGTTGTTGTGTAAATACTAAGGTGATGCCAATGTATAAGGTGTATGGGTAAATGTCAGGATTTTTGGCATCTCACTCGAGTATTCGTAACTGCTCCTGGTCATACATAATAAGTGTGTAAAATTGACACTCGCAAATTCCAACTACAAAACCCCTCAACAATTAGTTCTATATCGAGTGCAAAGAAGAATATATTCATGCTAATTATCCAGTTAGAAATGGGCAGTAGGAAATCCCATACACAGAATAATTAGAATTACTAGAAATACATGCATGCAACAACCCCTCGCCTATCTTTTCCAAACATTGTTTCAACATGAAGTGTTCGTCATGTTTAGAGAGTTCAAAGAGAGTTCAAAGAGAACCTGTTCGCAGGCTACGTCATGTTAGTCATGGCACAAAATAAGAAGATACAGCAGAAGCGCAACTCTAGTCGTTTCCCTTAATGTTTGACGTCCACGAAAATTTTAACTCGCTCACGCCAATCCACGTCATCCTGGCTAGTACAACGGTACAACCGGAAGTTTTTATCAGGTTTTGGTAGGTACAAAGTGCCGGTTGTACTAGCCAGAATGGCGTGATTGATGATGAACCGCTTGTAAAAACGCGGACAAATATTTGCTTGAGTTACGCTTCTGCTGTACCTTCTTATTCTGTGGTCATGGCAACACGCTAATTGTTTTTTAATTTTTTGTACAAACCGGGAAAAAATAGATGAAATTTGAACACTTTTAAATACAGGGGCCGGTTGTATAAAAACGTAGTTAGCGCTAACTGCAGTTAAAAAGTAGTTAAAAAGCCTTAAAAAATAGTTAACTTTAATCACTCGTAGTTATGCCGGTTGTATAAAAGTGTAGTTAGCCTTAACTGCAGTTAAAAAGTAGTTAAAGTTAACTATGCTTTAGGGTAGAGTATATAACTGTCCAAAACGTAGTTAAAAATGGCGTTTGTATAGGAGTGAACAACATTTTTCAGTAAAACAATAATGAAAAGCAACGCTTACCTGAGATTTTCAATCGCTATCTTCCCTGTGAATGGTTCCTGACAATTATAAACTCTTCAAACGCTATCGCTTTGGTGTTTTTACGAAAACAGAACATATTTTTGCACAGGACGATTTCTCGAAGACGAAGTATGGTCCATTACACCAAGAAACACTGATATATAATTGCCAAACAGCTATACCTTGGTTTAACGTAGACATCTCTAGGAAGAACTGCATTCTTTTATGATTTTTGTGGCAGTTTTTCCTTGTTTTCTTATATATTTTTCACTGTTTTCTAGTGTTTTGAATAAAATTCCCGGATTTTACTACATCCCAGGCGTTCTTTGTCAGTACCCGCGATCACAATTAGGATTATCAGCGGTTGAATTCGCAACTCAATATTCAAACTAGATAAAACAGATTATTACTGAACTTTTTTAAAGCACTTTAGATTTTATACCGATCCCAAACACTAACCGGCCTAACTTTTAAGAGTTAAAAAAAGGACATTGGCAATAAAAATTTTTATTGCTTTATCTGAAAGAGCATGAAAAAATAAGCTGATTGGCCGTTTACTGCTCTATTCTATCTCATCTGGTTCCGAAGTTATACGCAAAATTGTGTAAAATATAAATTGCTGATTCAGCACAACGTGTGACGTCATTAGTTGGGTAAGCATCAATAGTACTACTAAAGCATAGCTAAGTTATTATTGGCTCAAATCAAATGAAATTTTGCATACAGATAGTATATGACTAGGTTACCCACAGGGCAGTAATGCTGCCTTCGACAGCAAAAGACAAACTACAGGGTGTTGAACGAGTCCTTCAGAAACATCCTATTATTGTTATCCTTGCAGGTTAACCCATTTATTGACAGTACCCTACCACTGACTGAGTATTAAAAATAGTCTGGCGTTGGACAAGGTAAACACTAAAGTAGGGGTCATTACTGTGCTGATGGATTAACAAGAGACATTGGCAGATAGGTTTGTTAACCCATTTACTGGCATTACCCTATACCACTGACGAGTAAAATCTTCTGGCGCTGGACAAGGGAAGGGCGCATTGCCAGCTAATGGGTTAAACCGCCGTGGTTAAACATACGATTTGATGCTCCAGGAAATGTAAACAAGCTATCAGTGTAACATCCCAGTTTATATATTTATATACTCGGAATATTGATTTCTCGGTATATACAAAATTATTTTAAAGTATAACAACCAGCGAAGAAGTAAGCCACTAACTACCCTGCGCAGCTGCGCGCAGATTATATAATGACATATATATGTCATCCGTCCGGTCCGTCCGTCATTCATCCGTCCATCCGTATCCGCGTTTTATCCTACCCGTTTTTAAAACACAAAGTTTGCATAATTTTAAAAAGGCAGTGCGGTTCGTCATGATCAACATTTTCAAAAGCGGCCAATTAGACCAGGGGTTAAAGGTCAATGACAATGACATGCAAGTGACGTTTAACATTGCGTCTCACTAATTAAAGTTTGCGTGTTTAATAATGTTTATCAAAGAAAGCAAAAATATTTACAAGACAATCTCACATGTGGAATTTGTTCACTTACGTACTGCCTTGTGATGCAGTACAAGTATAAATACAAATGACAAAGCATTTGTAAATCCTAAAACATAATTAAATAAGGGCTGCTGTAACTGGCGCAAAGCTGTAGCATATACCCTGCCATTGATTGATTGATAGTTTGTATATTCTTGTGTTTGTATTTGTGCAGATATGATTGTGTGAAATTGGCAAAGCATAATAAATAAATAAATAAATAAATAAATCATACGGCACATTCAAGATTTTATTAAATATCGTATTTCAGCCGCGTTTATACTGCTTGGCGCATTCGCTGCGTTATATTCATTTATATACACAGAAAAGCATCAAGCATGTCATTGTCCTTGCAGACCATAGGCAAAAAGCATTTATCAACCAAAAGAATATGGAAATAATGTTGAATGAAAGCTAGCATCGCGTATAATATAATGTTAAAAGCACCGCATATAGTGCTCGAGCCACTGCGTATATTAATTGCAAAGCAACGCGTATATAAATGGTGAAAGCACCGCGTATAATGCTGGAACCACCGCGTATAATGCGGGAACCACCGCGTATAGTGGCGAAAGCACCGTGTATAATGCCGAAAGCACCATGCACCGTATAATGCTAAAAGCACCCAACAAAATGCCGTTTGATCACTTTAAGCCAGCTATGGCTTTCCATAAAAGAAGACCAAAGATGAAAGATGATCACATTGTCTGTTTGCCTTATGCCTGCCCGCGCTGCACCACGGTTAAAATTCACTGGTACCGTCATGCAATGCGCCAAATGGAAAATTTTGATTTCGACCCACAAAACAAAATTAGGATCTGCTGCCTTGCTCGCTCGCTTCAGGCTCGCTCGCTGCGGCAGCAATGAGACGCATGGGAAATACTTCTAATTTTGTTGTCAAGGCAACACAGTCGTTCCCAGGCCCCTTACACTGATTTTGAATAATTAGTTGCATTTATCTATGTGTATGTCATTTTCGAATTATTATCATGCAAGTAAACTTCTGGCGTGCATAGGTATGGTACACATACTTCTGATGTTATTTTATCCTTATCAGTACCATGAATAAAGGTGTTTTGTAAAATTGGCGCAAGGGGCCTGGGTACGACATTGTTACCTCGGCAACAAAATTAGAAGTGTCTTTCAATGCGTCTCATCATGTACAATCAGTATGCAAAATTTCATTTGATTTGGGCCCATAATAACTGAGCTATGCTTCAGTTTACTATAATTTCAATAAACATAAAACATACTTACCCAACTAATGACGTCACACGTTGTGCTGAATCAGCGATTTATATTTTGCACATTTTTGCGTATAACTTCGGAACTAGATGAGATAGAATAGAGCATTAAACGGCCAACCGGCCAATTTTGGTTGCCAACGTCCTTTAAAAAAGGCAGAAAAAATTTTTTTTAAAAAATTGAGAAAAAAAGCTAAATCAGATAACAAACGTTCGGCATCGATCCCGACCCCGACTGCGTTTCACTTATTGCTACATTGCTTTCAATATTGCTACAAAATACGAAATAACTGAGTGTATCTAAAAGTCGAGGGTCGAGAGTCGAGAGTAAAGGTCGAGAGTCGAGAGTAAAAGTCGAGAGTAAAAGTCGAGAGTCGAGAGTAAAAGTCGAGAGTAAAAAGTCGAGAGTAAAAAGTCGAGAGTAAAAAGTCGAGAGTCGATCGAGAGTAAAAAGTCGAGAGTCGGCAAATGTCATCAGAAACTGAACAAAGTCAAAATACTTTTAACACAATATATAACTGATCCGTAACGGCTGATTATAGCTGTACGGGCGAGGGGGGGAGGCAGTCCCGCCCCCCAGTCAAAATAAAGTCATGCAAATTATAAACGTATAAATTCGGGCAAAAATTCGGAGAAATAAATTTAAAAAGAAGACAGTACATGCAATATGGTATTTGAAAACACCAGAAATATGTAAAAATAACGAGGAACCGACAAATAGGACAAAATTTTTGTCTACTTCCCAACGACAATTTTGGA